ATTCCAAAGGGATGGAGCCATCCATAGTCAGCATCCAATGGGATGGGTTCTTCCTGACCTTGGACTGAGCTGCCTCGGAAGGTGGTGTGTTCTACATCACTGGAGTGGTTAAAATTCAGGAACATTGCCCTGAGGATCCAACCATTGTGAGAGAGAATGGAATGGATGGACCTGAAAGGAACCCTCTTAGTTGTATTAGGAATTCTGAGTGTGGGGTGTAGGTTATTGTTCAGACTAAGGCCAGGTGTGCTTACTCATTCAACTATCTAAAGCCTGTATCACCATTTCTTTCACAATAGATCAGGTAGCAACAAAATTAGAATAGCACTACAGATATTTTGTGTTTGGAGAGGAGTGTAATGGTGGAACCCCAGGTTAGTACCTTGTTATTAGTTATCACCCCAGTTCTGTGGCCTTGTCATTTGAAAGTTGACTAGCTCAATGGTGTTATGTAACCTATGACTAGAAGAAACAATAGGAAATATTCCCAGGACACAGTCAATTTTTCACTTTTTTTTAAATAAAAAAAGAGTCAGAAGACAGCCAAGCAGTAAATACAATCCTAAAGATAGACATAACAGATTGGAATATGTACTATTATGTTCAGAACTATAAAAGTCTTTTACTATGTCTCAATACATACAATCTGTAGAAAGTTCCAAAATGAGTATTTATTTTTTAAATGTAGTTTTGTGGGTCTTCTTATCCAATAAATTCAAACCATCAATAGAAGACCTCAAGAAGAATGAATGAAATAAGGAGAATTGATGAGATGAGTAAAATTATTGTGATTTTGTTTCTTATATAACTCAGATTTGTGGTTTGAGAGTTTGGGGTCAAAGAAAATAGTGCTATTCCAGGAGCTTCCTGGAGATATTTTTGGGAGCGGGCTTCATTGTTCTCTAGTAAGAGAATGCATTCTATTTCTAGGCACTATAATATAATCATTATTCCTTTAACAAAAATGTCTTTTCATCTAGAAATTTTAGTTCCATAATTAAATGGACTAAAAGTATTCTGTAGTGCATCTAGAAAACTATTTTGTACGTATTGATATAATGTTTTCTAGAAATTTCCCATGATGGATCAAACAATGGAGACTCTTTTTTTTTAATTTGTATATGCGTGTTTTAAGTAAATTTTGAAAATCAGCAAAACAAAGTCAATTTTAAAATAATTTCCTTTGTTTCCAAATATATAATTGTGCAATATTCACAGCAAGAAAGAATTAATGAAAAAAAGCAAATATGTGAGAAATATTTGTCTTAGTATGGTCATTGTTTATCAACAATTCTTGGTAAAGAATTGTAGCTTCTCAATGCGAAGTCTAAAGTGAAAGATACAGTTTTAACTTAGAGTGTCCCCCCCTGTGAAGGAGGGAAGCGAGGTAACAGAAGTCAGTGTGATAAGTGACATGACGCACGTGATCTCTAGGCCCTCCAGGAGGACTGAGAACAGGCACCTAGTGTGGCTTGTGGGCAGAGGAGGTAAGCTAGGCTGAACAGCTGTGTAGTCAGCTAAGAGGACCAGAGAGAAGCACCAGGAGGCATCCACAGAGAGCAGGATGTACAAAATTAGTTTGAGCAGCTGCAGTTTCTTCCTCAGGGTTGTCCACTTCCAAAGAACATAAGACTATCATAAATTTGATTTTTGTCAATTAAATATTACTCAACAATTGAAAAGTCATTTTCAAAATTGATTTTTTTTCATAAACTTTTCAAAGTCAGGAATAGAAACACGATGAGGAAAGACTATACTCTTATTCAATTGCCTTGACTCCTGCAGCTCTTAGTAACGGCTTCCAAAGCCTTTGACCCAGGGTACTGGGGTCAAAATGCATTTGGTACCGGGGGTGCCAAAAACAATGCATACACGTGACTTGTATTCATCTTTTTTTATCGGTATATATTGAGTATCACAATTTTAATACAGTTTTTTTCTTTTTTAAAATGTGTGTATGTTTTTTTGGCACCCTTCTGTATATGGCAATTACTTTCTTCAATAGTCAGCATTTTTCCTGGGGAGATTTTTTTTTATTTATTTTCATAAATATCTCATCTCCCTTTATCAACAAATGCTGCTCTTTGAGTCACACTGTGCATTCCTTCTTCATCCTCTTTTTCTGTGTCAAATAGAGTAAAAGCTTCAAGATTAAAACGTACTATTTTTTACTTATTTACAAACAGCATCTTCCCTTAAGTTGTAATAAAGAAGGGTCTTGGCGAATAGAGGAAGGATCATTTTTAGCGTTCCTCTCAAATTTAATCTAATATTGACAAGCCCCTTATTTTACCTGTAAATGCTCAATTGGTAAAGCTGTTAAACTTTAAAGGTAATTCATAATGGATTTCTGTAACCACATTTCTGTTTTAATCCAAATAACTAGAAGAAAATAAGGGACATAAATTACTTGTTTTATGTTGAAATTATCCTTCATATTCAGTCCCCAAAAGCAAAATTGTGCGTTTTTAGTACATGCGAATCATTAATGAAAAGAGTCAGTTCTCTTTTCTCTTGACATTTTATTTTTTGTAAATGTTCTGTGAATCTTTTCCTTAAAAGTCATCTTCTTGCACGAGTTCCTCAATATACTATAAACTTAGCCACCATAGTCCCTCAGGGGGAAAAAAAAAGGACTTTATTCAAATTAAAGCTAATAAGAGAAAATATGCTCCTTTTAATGCCCCGGTCTCAAGCAAGGGAAAATATAAGTAACATAGTAAAGAAAAAATGTTTAAGACCTGGACTTGTTGATGTGGGTTCAATTTCTGGTTTTGTCACTCTCTACCTCAGGCAAATTCATTAACTAGTGACCTTCACTTTCCTGTTCTATGAATTGTGATTGATGGTATCTGCCCTTTTACCCACCTACTCATCTACCTGATTAAGTAGACAGGGATTGCTTTCACATTTAGGTAGGTAAAAGAGCCTTGAAATTAAACATGTTTTACAAATGCTAGTTGTTATGGCAAAGACTTAATGTACAAAATATGATTCTTAAAGTGAGAGGCGGTACATATATGAAGTTATATTTTATACATTGACCAAATAGGGATATGCTTCCCTTCCTTCTCTCAGCTTTTCTTTTAAGCCTCTTTATTTCCCATTTATCCCCATTTACTCCTAGACTTTTCTGCTGTTCTGCATACTTTGGTATTCACTGCTGCTCTGATTATCCTTCTGTAGTCACAGGCCCAGAGAGGCAGTCAGTCCTCAGCCAACTTTAATAGTCCCCTTCTTAGTCTGGACATTTGATCGGATGCATATTCTAGTTTTAAATTTCTGTGTGGTTAGAACACATATAGGTGGATGTTGGTTTTATATCTTATAATAATTTTTTTTTTAAGATTTTTATTGGGGAATTGGGGGGATGGGAACATTGCTAGAGGAATTGGGGGAAGGGGAACAGACTAGTTGCTGTCGTTTTGTTCTTCAATCTAGTTGTGGAGGATGTTGCTTCACTGGCCCAAGTTGGCACCATCATTGCGCTCTTCTCTGGC